TGCCCTTTTTTCCACATCTTTGCCAACACTTGTTAGTTCTTGTCTTTTGATAATGGCCATTCTAACCAGTGTGAAATGATACCTCATTGTGGTTTTGAGTTTCATTACCCTGATGAGTAATGATTCCCCATCTTTTCATGTACCTATTGGCCACCTGTATATGTCTTCTTTGGAAAAATGTCTATTCAGATCTTCTGCTGATTTTTAAAAAGTTTTTATTTTAATTCCAGTTAGTTAACATACAGTGTTACATTCGTTTCAAGTGTACAATCTAGTAATTCAACAATTCCATACATCACCAGGTTCTCATCACAAAAAACGCACTCCTTAATCCCCATCACCTGTTTCACCCATTCTCCTACCCTCCTCCCTTCTGGTAACCATCAGTTAGTTTGTTCTCTATAATTATGAGTCTGTTTCTTGGTTTTTCTCTCTCTCTCTCTCTTTTTTTCCCCTTTGCTCACTTGTTTTGTTTCTTAAATTCCACGTATGAGTGAAAACATATGGTATTTGTCTCTCTCTGACTTATTTTGCTTAGCATTATACCCTCTAGCTCCAACCATGTCGTTGCAAATTCTTCTGCCCTATTTTTAAAGATTTATTTATTTATTTAAGAGAGAGAGAGAGAGAGAATGAGCAGGGGGAGGGAGAGAGAATCCCCAAGCAGACTCCCGGCTGAGCAGAGCCTGAGGCAGGGCTTGATCTCACAACCCTGAGATCATGACCTGAGCCGAAATCAAGCGCTGGATGCTTAACTGACTGAGCCACCTAAGCGTCCCTCTTCTGCCCTTTTTTAAATCAGATTGTTTTTAGTTATTGAGTTGTATGAGTTCTTTGTATATTTTAGATATTAGCCCCTTACCAAATAAATGATTTGCAATTATTTTCTCCCATTCAGTAGGTTGTCTTTTCATTTTGTTGATGGTTTCTTTTGTTGTGCAGAAGTTTTATAGTTTCATGTAGTTCCATTTGTTTATTTTTGCTTTTGTTGCTTTTGCTTGTGTCATATTAAAAAAAAAAATCATCAACAAAACTTACGTCAAGGAGCTTACTGCCTATGTTTTCTTCTAAGAGTTTTATGGTTTCAGGTCTTATATTCAAGTCTCTACTCCATCTTGAGTTCATTTTTGTGTATGGTGTAAGATAGTTGTCCAGTTCCATTCTTTTACATGTGGCTGTCCAATTTCCCAACACCAGTTATTGCAGGGACTGTCCTTTCTCCATTGTATCTTCTTGTGTTCTTAGTCATCCGTTAATCAACCACATATGTGTGGCTGTCTGTTCTGTTGATCTAAATGTCTGTTTTTATGCCAACACCATACTGTTTTAATTGCTGTAGCTTTGTGGTATAGTTTGAAATCAAGAAGCGTGATGCCTCCAGCTTTGTTCTTTTTCAAGATTCCTTTGGTTATTTGGGGTTTTGTGGTTTCATGCAAATTTTAGAATTGTTTGTTCCATTTCTGTGAAAAATACCATTAAAATTTTGATAGGGATTGCATTGAATCTATATATTGCTTTGGGTAGTATGGATATTTTAACAATATTAATTCTTCCAATCCATAAGTACAGAATATCTTTCCATTTGTTTATGTCTTCTTCAATTTGTTTCATTAATGCCTTGTAGCTTTAAATATATAGATCTTTCACCTCCTTGGCTGAATTTACACCTAGTTATCTCACTCTTCTTGATGCAATTATAAATGGGATTTACTTAATTTCTCTTTCTAATAGTTTGCTATTAATGTAAAAAAAACACAACAGATTTTTGTGTATTGATTTTGTATCCTGCAACATTGCTGGATTTATTAGTTCTAATATTATTTTGATGGAGTGGTTAGTGTTTTCTATATATAATATCATGTCATCTGCAAACAGTGACAGTTTTACTCATTCCTTTCCAGGTTTGGTGTCTTTTATTTCTTTTTCTTGCCTAATTGCTCTGGCTAAGACATACAATACTATGCTGAACAGAAGTGCTGAGAATGGACATCCTTGTCTTGTTCCTGGTCTTAGAGGAAAAGCTTTTGGCTTTTCACCATTAAGTATGATGTTAACTGTGGGCTGGTTATAAATGACCTTTATTATGTTGAGGTACATTCCCTCTATACTCACTTTGTTGTGAGTTTTTATCATTAATGGATGTCAAATTTTGTCAAATAATTTTCCTGTGTCTATTGAGATGCTTATGTGATTTTTATCCTCCATTTTGTTAAAGTTGTGTATCACATTGACTGATTTGTAGATATTGAAACATCCTTGTATCTCTGGAATAAGTTCCATTTGATCATGGTGTAAGATACTTTTAGTGTATTATCATATATATTTTTGCTTATTTATTATGTCTTTTCTCCCACCTGGAATGCTAGAATGTAACCTCCACCGAGGCAGAGACTTTGCTTTATTACTCCATTCCTAGTGCCTATAACAATGCTTGCTCTATGGCAAGCACTCAAAAAATATTTATTGAATGAGTGAATGAATGAATAGGTAGATCTACAAAGGAGCAGTAAACCACAGCATATCCATCCTAAGAGATTTTATGTAGCCATTAGAAACATTCTCAAAGGCCATTCTGAGGATAAAAGGTGGGTTTGAGACAGGGAAGAAACTGATAATGGTAAAATAAATTATTGCCTCCTCTACATATGTTCTCCATCATTTCAAGGGCTTCCAGAATTTCAGGCCTATCCTAAGTCTGGCCTGAACCTCAAAGCAGTCTCCTAACTTCTATAATCTATCTAGGTCTTAGGAGATGACTCAGGATCAAAAGAATCCTCTTGAGCTCCCCTTGGCATTAGACCAATTTTCTGACATCCATTCTAAGAGCTACAAGTAAAGACTTGTTGTGAAATGTGTTGTAAAAAGATGATGAGAAAATCAGCCAATTAATCCATTAAACATTATTTTGGCTGAGAGAAGATACAAAGGGTTAAAATATGTCACCTTGTCTTCAGAGAGCTTGCTATTTATTCAAGTGGGTAAGATACATAGAAATTGGATGGAGATATATGTGGCTACTGCTAAATAAGATGCAAGGACAAGAAGGGCAACAGTAATTTCGAGAAGGGAGAGGAGAGGCAGTTAAGGACAAGCCTTTCCAAACAGTGGGAATATGAGCTGATCCTAAAGGATGAGTGCGATTCAGACAAGCAGGGAATAGATAAGGAGTCCCACAAGGCCAGGCAAAACCAGGATGGGTGAGCAACAGAACGTATCTGGGCCCAGGGACAGGCTCTTTTCTCAAGGGCATTTTAAGTAAAACATTTTCATCAGAATTACATCAACATATTGATTTTATCTAGGTAAATCTTTGTTTGGTTGGCAATGTTAAATTATAAACAATATTTCTTTTCTTTTTTGTACCTCTTAATCATTACCCTTCACCTATTTCACCTATCCCTCTCCCACCCTACCCCTCTGGCAACCATTAGTTTGTTCTCTATATTTATAGTCTGTTGTGTTGTTGTTGTTGTTTGTAAACAATATTTTTCATTTGCAACTTACTTTTCCTTATGAATTATTTCTTTTCCTTGAACAATTTAAAATGAAATTTAGATGGATGCACCTAAAGTATATTTTGCTAAGTGAAATAAGTCAGACAGAGAAAGACAAATATCATATAATTTCACTTACACGTGGAATCTAAAAAAATAAAACAAATGAACGAACAAAACAAAACAGAAATAGACTCATAGGTACAGGAAACAAACTGTTAGTTACCAGAGGGGGAGGGTGAAGGTGAAATAGGTGAAGGAGATTAAGAGGTACAAATTGCTAGTTATAAAATAGATAAGTCATAGGATGTAATGTACCTAGGGAATATAAGCATAAGGAATATAGTCAATAATACTGTAATAACTTTGTATGGCAACAGATGGTAACTAGACCTATTGTGGGAATCATTTTGTAATGTATAAAAATATCAAATTACCATGATATATGCCTGAATCGAACAGGATATTTTATGCCGACTATGCTTCAATGAGAAAAAAAAATAAAGTAAAATGAAAGTTAGATTTATTGATTGGCTTTTGTATTATTGTGTTTTAGTCTTACCAATTTTAACTTTTGCCTTTGGGAGCCATTTTTTTTCCAAGTCAAATTTTGCAGATAAAAAGTTTATCATGAATATTATATTCTTCCATCAATTTTTAGTGGATTTTTAAAATATTTTTTAAGAGTTTATTTATTGATTGATTAATTTAGAGAGTGAGAGAGCACAAGTAGGGGGAGCAGCAGAGGGAGCAGCAGAGGGAGAGGCAGAAGTAGGCTCCCCACTGAGCACAGAGCCCAGAGCAGGTTCCCAGGACCCTGGGATCATGACCTGAGCCGAAGGCAGACGCTTAACCAACTGAGCCACCCAGGCACCCCTTTAGTAAAAAATATTTTAACAAGTAGTATTTTTAGCCATTGCCAATTTTTCCCTCTTGATTATAAGATCTAATTTTTCCAGAATTAACTTATATAGTTTTCAATATTACCAGTCATTTGTATTTTATCACTTTATAATAAATTTTACCCATGAGATTTCAGCCACTATTTTATTTTGTATTAAATATTTCTATCAATATTATTCATTATGAATTATTAAAAAGACTACTAATTTACATTTATAGCCTCGCTGAAACATGATATTTTATTTATTTATTTGACAGAGAGACAGAGAGAGAGAGCACAAGCAGAGGGAGAGGGAGAAGCAGGCTCCCTGCTGAGCCGGGAGCCCGACACGGGGCTCAATCCCAGGACCCTGGGATCATGACCTGAGCAGAAGGCAGCTGCTTAACCAACTGAGCCACCCAGGTGCCCCTGAAACATGATATTTTATGGGCTCTTCGCCTCAGCTATTCTGTAAGTTTCTCTATTGTCCAAATTGTAATGCAAATGTACTGAAAACCCAGTTCTTCTACATACTTTTCATTTCTTTGTCTATTCCAAAATAAAGGTCCATGCTACTGGCAGAGTGAAAGTCCTGGTTGCAAGCAACAGAAACTGACTCCAGCTGATTTAAAAGAAAAACATTTATTAAAAGGATACAAGGGTAACTCACAAAATCCCTGGGAGGGCTTGAGAGCCAGACTGGAGCCGGAGCACTGGCTAAAAGCAGACAGCAGAACCAGTCTAATCTGGCTACCCGGACTGCGAGAGGCACCAGGCTCCAGATCTGCTCTGCAGACTGTCTTGGCCCTGGACACTGGATGCCAGGAGTCAGACCAGCTACAGTCGCCGCCACCACCTGGGAAGACTAACTGTGGGCCCTGTTTCTTTGCTTCCTTACCTCTCAATTAGAAGCCTGTGGTAGGTGTGTCTGAGTGGTGGGGGTCACATGCCTGCCTTCTTGCTACAAGAGATCTTGGGGGAAGCAAATCGAATGTAGCTCCCACCCAGAAGATACAGGTGGAGGAATTCCCCAGCATGGCAAGGGGTGTCATATGCTGGGCTATTGAGAAGAATGATAAATGTCCATTAGAACATCAGAAGATTAGAGAGAAAATATCCCGCTTTGTTCCATGGAATCACAGTTATAGCAGAGGCCACAGGTCCTGGACGTTTCCTTGGGGGCCGTCCCACACAGAACTCACACACCGACTTGCCTGTGTCCCTCACCATGCAGCCAACCATCGGTGCAGCCTCTCAGGCAGTAAGCAAGTTAAAAAAAGAACCAAACTATCCCTGGTGCAAATGGATATGTGATCCTCTTCCAGGAGTAGTTTTTAGCAAATTTTATAATCAAAGTATTTTCTGTATCTAGCAAACATCCTGTATACTGCAACTGATAACACACAGAATGCTTTCATTAGCGTTGCCCTTGGAGGAATTGAGGCACTCAGATTTAAATGGGTGACTGCAAAAACATGATTGGCTTTAAATCAGAGCATTTCTCTGAAGAAATGTTTTTAATAGTTCTCATTTAGATATCTATTATTTCATGTAGTTGCTAAAAAATCACAGAGCTTAAATTAACATCATACAATCATTTATATTTAGTTTTAAGGAGAGTTGATACTAAGTGTAATCTTAAGTATTTTATGTATAAGATAGATACAGCAAATGAAAACGATCTTTATATTAGCTAAATTCCATAGCAGCACACAAGTCACAGAGCGATTTTTCTATAACCCAAAGTTCATGGAATGTTAAACTTTAGGACTTAGAGCTCTCTGAAGCTGCTCTTCCAAGGCTCCAAAATACAAAGTACTTTAGAGTAGTCATTAAAGACAATACTTTATTGTAGTAATAGCATTCCAAATGATCTCTCATGTCCCAAGTGCTGGTTCCTTCTGTATGTGTGGAGTTACTTAGTCATTTCCAGATATATATATATATCTGTAGCTCAGTCGACCCCCTGAGCATGCTCTTCATCCCCCTCCTTCAGGTCCCTGAACATAGCTCTTTTGTCTCTCACCATCTAACCAAGATGCTTCTGGTACAGCCCAGACTGAAGGGTGGGCAATGGACTAAGGGGCCTCAAGGGAGGGGAGGGCAGTTTCCCTTCCAGATTCTTGAGTCTTCCTAAGCTTTCCTAATGTTTAGTGGTTCACCTGGGAATTCTGCTGAAGGTTAGGCAGTTGTTATGGGGATTGTCACAACTGAAATCAAATGGCTCTCGGAACCAAGAATTCAGGAAGTCAGGAACTTTTCAGTGTTAATTTGGAGTCATAGACTACCACCACAGCTATCATTCTACTAGGGTTTTCTTTCAGTAACTACTTAATGGGAGTGTTTATCTCAACTCCGCATTTCCCAAACAGAGCTACTAATCAGACCCATCTCTATATCCACTATGAGTGAGACGGGCATAGTTCAGGCCTTCAGGCTTGCCAGGAGGACAGTAAGCCACTTGTTTTTCTTGGCAGAGATCTTTGTCCGCATGTGGTTCCCTCTCTTCTTTCCTCAGACCACAAGATTCAGATTCCTTGGAGCCTAGAGGACCCTCGGAATTTTCTTCACCTTGGCTACATCCTGTGGCAAGTACCATATAGTTTAAGCCTTCTTGGTTCTTGGTTTCCATTAAGGCTATTGACATAACGTCACCTGAATTCAAACAGATCACACTGCCATCTTCATCTGTGACAAAAAAAATGTAAAGATTATACTAGTATCTATTTGACCTTCTGTATCTCTAATATACAGACTGTACAAGAATTATAACAATACCAACCATAAACATTGGTTCGGCAAGCATTTATGAGGACCACCAGGGAATACAAAGAAACAAGATACGCTCCTTGTCTTTGAGGCTACTGTAGTCATAGGGGAGCAGAAACATTACTATAGAAGACAATGTGTGCTGTATATAATAAAGGAATATGTAAAATGTGGGGAGAGAGCAGAGAGGATAACTCTGCCATAAGTGAACAGGTCACAGCCTTGGGGATAGGAATTAAGTGGCCTTACAATGGCCCTTTTTGTCTAAAGTGCTTACCTTTTAGTCCACCAGCTAAAATATCCACCTTGAAAGATATATTCTTTTCGATTGAGTAATTTAATCATATATTAAGATATTTATTGGATGCTTAACACATGCCAGGCTGTGTTCTAAGTATTGATGAGACAACAATGAACAAAGCAAAGTTGTTTCTCTTCGGGATTTACATTCTAATGGCGGGGGAGACAGACAATAAACTAGCAGCCAACTAAGTCTGTGTCGGGTGGTGACGAGTGGCAGCAAAAGGGGGCAAGAAAATAACGGTGGGCATGAAAGGGGGTAGCTACTTTAGATGAAACGTCAGCAAAGTCCTCTCTAACGAGGTACATTGCAAGTAGGGACCTGAACTAAGTGAGAGAATTCAGCACTTGGGTATCTGAGGAAGAATGTTCAAGGAAAAGAGAACAGGGAGAACAAGGACCCCGAGGCAAGAGCACACTGAGTATGAATTGGTGTGAATGGTCCCCCTCAGCTGTCTATCTCCCTGGGACATGTTGCATTAGTACTACTTAGCAAATAAACTAGCATGCTTATGACCTCATAAGGCTGACAGGAAATGGAGAGGCCTGGCAAGTTTTGATGACAAAGTTGAGTTGAGGGAGAAGGAAACTGACATGAAATATAATAACAGTGATCATTATTGTTGTTGTTCACACGGAGAACCTACTATGTGCCAGGCACTGTTCTAAACTATATATGTATATTAACTCACTCTTCTATTAAGTAGATGTTGGTATCATCCCCATTTAACATTTGGGGAAACTGAGGCACAGAGGGGTTAAATAATTTGCCCAAGGTCACACAGCTGTAATTTGAACCCAGACAGTGTCCCCATATTCACCCTCCCTGATGGAAGGGCAGAGCTGCTGTGCTCTGTGAGGAGGAGCCAAGTGGGTGGGCAGTGTGCCCCATAGGAGTCCTTGAAAGGCACAGACTCTGGATGCTCATGTGTGGGGTCAGGGTGGCTGGGCAGAAAAATGGGCAGCTAGAGGGTAATTTGCCTTCTTCACAATTACGCTTATTATTATTTTGTCTTTCTCTACTTAAAGACTGACCTTTTTTCCATAGAAAAGTAGAAGAATTCTTGCAGAAACCTAATAGCAGAGCTTCTGAAACATTTCACAAAATCTAGGTAATCAAAAGGGACAAGTACACAATATAAACATAAATATATAAATGTGTATTATGGGGATTGTTTGTTGGTGATCAATGCTTTCCAATTGCCGAGTGTTATTACCTGGATGAAAAATTTATGATTAGAAATATTACTGTTCTTTCAAAATGGATATTTTACAAATCAGAAACATTTTGGTCAACAGAGGGTGGTCCTTCCTTTGTCTCCATTATTCTTCCAGCAAGAAGCTTCCAGATGGGTGTCACTAAGGAGGGTGAGGTCAGCTGCGCTGCCAACCTTCTGCCCTTAGCCCTGATGTACACCCAGGTTGGGTTTCTTTGGAGTGAATTTAAATGGAAATATGGGGGAAAGAAACAACTTCAAAGGACTGAGGGAGGCACTACTGTAGCTACTTTTTGCCAATGGAATTTAATGGATCTGCCTGAACTACGAATCCTATTTTATTGTAAGAGCATGTGAACCACTGGCCCTGCTCTGTCTTAGGATGTGCGCATTTGTTTGCCCACCTTCCCACACTGCCGAAGGACAAGATGGTGGAGTGACAGGCTCACAGACTCCTGGCCATCATTTCATGTTCCTCTTCATAGTTCAAACATCATGATAGCCCACTGCAAACCACACAGATTGTCACGCAGTGTTATAAAATATCAACCCCATAGAAATCAGATGCCAAGCTTGGTTAATGCCTAAGTGCTTTAATCTTTGGAAGCATCCTGCTGTTAGGATTATGGTCAACATGCACTAAGAGCCATTGAGACACTCATAAGAACAGTTTTCTATATATGATGACAGCAACCAAAAATATCAGAAAGTGATAGGAAGAAATAAGATATTTAACTTTAAATAGTCCAGGGGCCCAGATTATTGAGGAAATTAGGATGTTCCTGAAAAGGTTTAAAGAAATCAGGCTAAAGGAAAGTTGAGAAAATTTCAAAACTTAAATCTATAGTAAAGGTCTAGCTACTCATGTTATCAGCAGCTTCATTTTCATACCTTTAATCCATTAAATAGCCTATTTGGAAACGTTCTACCCATACGTGATTTCAATTTTTTTTTTCCCCTTGTTGAGTTACTTGAAAAAAAAAAAAAAACTTTTATATAAGGCAGATAAGTTCTTTTTATAAATTCTGGCACCGCACATCAAAGAAAAATCATTAGCTAACTTCTTCATTGGTTTAGAGTACTTAGACCAATATTTAGTAACTTGACCCTGGCAAGCTTTCAGCAATTAGTACATCTTCTTATTGCATAAAGAACTTATGAGAGATGGTGGGGAGGAGGGTGTTTTGTTTGTTTGTTTTTGTTTAAAACTGAATAGAGAGCCTGCAGGTCAGATCTTAAGGCAGAGATCCTGAACAGAGATAGCATGTGCTCAGCAACCCTTTCTTTAAGAGGGAAATATTAAAATAAAGACTTCCAAGCAAGACAGGGTATTTACAGATGAGACATATGCTGGCTGACTGGCTATGTTTAGAACAGCAGAGGAGCATTTAGATTTGTTTCCTGTAGAACTCTCTGGGACTGATGAGGTGATGTTTACAAAAATGTTTGGATGAAGTCACTGGGATATTTTTACTAGATGCCCAGATATGTTACTAATCTCTCTCTATCCCCTCTCTACCCCATTAGGTCAGTAGGACCATAGGATAGGCATGGTATTATTGCTCCCTGTAATCCTAATGCCCACCACCTCCCAGCTTTTTTTTTCTTTCAAAAAAAATCCTTCCAATGGTTTTCTTACCCTCTTATGTATCTCCAATAATAACAGTCAAGACAGACATCTTACTGCTTTGCTAAATATGCCCACCAGTCTGCAGAGCAGTAAACTATTATTAAACACATTCTCTCTTATTAAAAAGGTAATTAAGCTTAGGCTTCCCTTGAAGGGACTGTTTTATGATTTCTATCCTTTGCAAATATGCAAACTCTGCCTGTCAGTCCATTTCTTCTCTCTGTCGCTTTTGTTCAGTCACATCTCAATGATCAAAATTTTTAGTGACTCCCATATCTCTTTCCATTCCTTACCTTCAGGATTTACATTCATTGTAAATAACAGAATGAGAATTTCTCTTTTACTAAAATTGAATTTCTGTCATGGCACAGAATTGCTTGTTTCTATCTAAATTATCGAAGTTTGATTATATTCCTCGTTAAACTCTTCCTGCATCGTTATTCTGCATGTTTGTCTGCTTCGCTATTGTTTGAATATTACTTAGAATTTTAATTCAGTCTGCCAACAACTTGGCACCTAAATGACCAGGACAAATTGGGGTATCTTTTCTAGCAAGCCAGAAGTAATAAGTTCTTTCACTATCCCTAGCTGCACAGGACACTATTGATAACAAATTGGGGAAGGTGTGTGGGTATTTTCCTTACGACAGCCATGTTTCTGTGAAGGCTGAAAGCAGAAGCCATACTCCAGCCCCACCTCAGCAGTATGGCCACGGGCAAATTGCTAAATCTCAGTCTTCTCATCTGTAAAATGGTGCTATAATACCCATGCCATAAGACTATTGTGAGTATTTAATGAGTTAACCCACATAACACAGTGAAGGGCACATTAAAAAGGGCTACAATAAGATTAGCTGAACTAGAGGGTATTATGCTGAGTGAAGTAAGTCAATCAGAGAAAGACAATTATCAATATGGTTTCACTCATATGTGGACTATAAGAAACAGTGCAGAAGATCATAGGGGAAGGGAGGGAAAACTGAATGGGAAGCCATCAGAGAAGGAGACAAACCATGAGAGATCCTTAACTATGGGAAAGAAACTGAGGGTTGCTGGAGGGGAGTTGGGTGGGGGGATGGGGTAATTGGGTGATCAGCATTAAGGAGGGCACGTGATGTGATGAGCCCTGGGCATCTGAAACTAATGCTGTACTATTTGTTGGCTAATTGAATTTAAATTTTTAAAAAAGATGAGAAAAATAAATAAAAGCCATTCACAATAAGGTTTTTGTTCTCTGTATTTAATGTGAGCATTGTTTGTTACTTATCTCAGCCTCACAGATGAACTAGGTAATGCAACATAGTAAAAAGATTGTCTTAAGGGTTCACAGAGACTTCTGGTAGAGGCTAAGGTAACGCTCAGCTCTCAGGCCCTCTTAAGCCCCTATGGCAGCCTCTGTGATGTTCATAAAATGTCTGCACACATTAGAAGGAAAGGACTCCATGAGCAAAGAGTTAGATTTTAAAATACAGTACATGTCAACTGTAAGATCCTTGCATCCCCCTGGAACTCTCTATCTCTGCAGCATTTGACCACTCCCCCCTTCATGAGCCTCTCTCTTTTCGATCTGACAATACTTTCTTATGACCTTCCTGTCCCTTTCTGGCTTCTTGTCTCTGTGCCACCATCTTTCTTTGCCAGTCTCTAATATCTTGACTGTTCTCTAGGTTCCATCCATCATTCACTCCTCTCCTTGTTCTATACACTCTAATTGAATGACCTCATCTACACCTTTGACTTCAACTACCTATATTTATAGGACAGATCTTTCAACTGAATATGAGGTTTCTCCACTTAGCCCACAGCCAGCTGAAACCAAATCTGTGCGAAGCTATTCTTCTTCCTATGCCCCCCGTCTCTGGGAAGAGCACCACTTTTCACCTACTTTCACAAATCACTGGGATTCACCATTGTCTCCTCTCTCTGTCACTCAGTTAGATGTCAAGTCCTACAACATCTACCTCTGGACTTCGTTTCCTCCTCTCTGTACCTATTACCACTCATTAATTCAGCTTCCATTCATTTTCATTTTTTTACCTGATTTTTTTATGTATGACTACTCTCCCTCCAATTTCCTCCCTTGCCATCTCCCAGCCTCATATGTGATAAACTACATGCAGTTCTGTGTACACCCCATTCTCTATTATTCCCTGCTTTTCTACATACTGTGCCTTCTATCCTGAAATACTGTTTTTCTCACCTCTCTGCAAAACTCAGCTTGGAAGTAACCTCTTCCCACTGGCTTTTATTGACTCTCTGACACATGATATGGACTTGGCGTCCTTCCTCTGGACTCCCACAGAACACGAACTCCCTCTCAGTGGCAAGAGAAAATGCTTCCTGCTCCCCAAATCCTTACACATCAGCTCACTTACTAGAAAAAAGATAGTATAGCCCTGACCAGAGAACCTATATCCCACTCAGTCCTCTAGATTACATCAATTTTATCTCTGAATCCAGCCAATCCACATATAAACATACATAAATATTTCCATAATCGGTTGTATATGCATATAAAATATCTAAAAGCATATAACCAAGTTGCTAACTATGGCGAGCACTGGAGAGTAAGGACAGAGACAAGTAGGAGACTTTTGCTTTTTATTCTGTTTTTATAATTTTATATGTTTTTTAACCATAAACATAAATTACTTTCATAACAAAGATCTTGAAAATGTAGATGCAGTTATGAGATAGCACAGCGAGAGCAGTTACTGAGATTGATTATTGGAAAAATTCTAAGGAAAACTGGAAAGGAATCAGGAGTCATTTTGATGATTGATGTCAAATAACATAGAAATTCTTTCTTAAGGCTTTAAAACGATAAGAATTGTGCTTAATTTTATAAGGTCTACAAAAGGGATAGTCACAACTTTGAATCAGGGTCTTCTCAATTAAGTGCTGCTTGCAGAGATAAGAGCAGTGATTTAGGAAGAAAAACATTCTTTCAGTGCCAGGCAAGCAAAGCCACACTCTGCTTGCGATTCACACGTCTACACAGTGGGCTCTACTCAGTTACTGCCATTTATCTATCTTAGGAACAAAAGATCTCCTTTTACGTATTGGTAAACGATCCCGGATTGCGCTTTCTCTCAAGTTTCCGTATGTGAGGTTACCACTAATAAGAACCAGGCCAAGAGGAGCAGATTCAAATGGCTTCAACAGAACAGTAGGGACAGAGATGCAGCCCTGGGACAAGGACAGCCAATAAAAGCAGCGCTCACTATTAAACTTTAAATACAAAATTAAAGAAACTGGCTCTAATTGCTCAAGGGAAAGAAATATTCTTGCCTCTTTTTTTTTTTTTCTTAAAACAGCCTAATGGAACACATTAAATTTAGGTGCTTAACACTATGCCTTGCAACAAGTCAATACCTGCTGAAATAATTTTTAAAAAAATTTTATCAAAGTTCCACTCAGAGAAATACGTTAAGTAAATGCCTAGAAAATGAGAAGGACTTGATAGTACCTAGAATGGCCTCCGGTCTATTTTTCCTTATCCTGTGTGGTCTTCACGCAGGTACCTATATGCACAGAACCCTCCACAAGGATGGGGCTAATGCCCCAGTTGGCATTCCTCAGGGCTCGGCCGCTGACACTCAGAATCAGCGGGGTTCCGTGACCGGAAGGCAGGGGGAGCCAGTGTGGGGCTGTTACCAAGGCTTATCTGATGAGGGTAACGAGGCATGCTCAAGACAAGCACAGCCCTTTCCAGTCTGTCACTGACTGTTCATTTAGGGAAGCCATGCGATCCGTGTTATTTCCATGCATGTCATGGAGTCTAAGTTGCCCCCAATTCATATTCAGAAATACAGCATGCAAGACAAGCAGATGTTCATCCTGTGCCTCATATTCTTCCCTGCTATTAGTCAAGAGCATCGCTCCAGGCAGAGGTCTCACTCTGGACTCCACGACGGCCGTCAGCCTCTTATCATCAGTCACTGCAAAGACTGAGGCGCCTGATTCCTGAGAGATTCTGACTCGTGGTCCGTCTTGCCAGCTTTATTTCTAAGCAAAAATGTCTGCATTCACAAAGGGCCCTGGGAACTTTTAATAGTGGCTCATTTTAGAATTCATTTTTCTACAGCCAAGGAGGCAAACATATTATAAATCTGATTTGGGAAATGAATTAAGTGACTACTGGGTTTTAATTCCATTTGGTACTTTTCATTGAACTAAAAACAGTTAGTTTGTCCATCACAGTAGAATGGTTCCAGAAGATTATTGCCTCATTTACCAAATTACTGAGGTTGTGGACTCAGACTAGACCTTAACAAGGCGTGAGCCACTCCAATAATCATTGCAAAATTACTCAGCAGTTAGAAGCAATGATTAGATATATACATAGCAACACGGACGGCTCTTAGAAACAGTGCTCAATGGAAAAGAAAAGAAGCTTTACAAACACAGCAGCATCTGTGTATACAAAACAATACACATTTTGCAGCAAAACATACAAATAAAAAGATACACATTAAAGGCATTAGAATGGTTGCCTGGCCAGAGGAGAGAGGAAGTAGAACAGGAGAAGAATATGGAGATAAAGGGACTAAACAAACAAGGGAGAAGCCCTGCATAGACCAATGATCATAATGTACCACCAACTAACCCTCTATAATTAACTCAGCTCTGCACTTGAGGTTGAAACTCGTACGAGGGGTGGAGGGGAAGGAAAACAGATTTCTAACATGTTAATTCACCTCCTTACTATCTTAGATGACAAATCCAGGGGCCATATCACAATTCTTCTTTTTTAATTTAGTGCACAAATAAAAATAATTTCCAAAGAGGAGTACAATGAGCACTTCATTATTATGACGATGGTGCCAGCATATTATTCTTCTTACTCACCATAAATGTCTTCTATGTATATCTCGTTTTAACCTCTTCAATTAACACTGGAAAGAAAACCAGAAAATTCTGAAAAAGAATCAAACTTACCTTCAAAGCCTTCATTTATGACTCCACTGGGGTCTGCTTCTTCTCTGCGTTGAGAAATACTCTTTAAGGAAACATTTCTGAATAACTGAAGCTGGTCTTGAATTTTGTGGAAAGTAGGTCTTCGGTCAGCTTCTTGAGCCCAGCACTGGGTCAATAGATCCCACCTGGATACATGGGTAAAGACATGAAAGTAAACGGTCATTGGAGATCATTAGGCAACCAGTACTGATAGTCTATGTAAGGTCATTTCGGAAGGCAACACATTTGACTTATTGCCCGTTTTCCATAATTAATATAAATAAACCATAACAAAATCTTTGGTTTCTAATTTAACAGTACCTTGCAATATTACTACCTTTGTTACATAATACCTTTCTTTTGAAAAGCTATTATTTTTAACAGTTATTAATCCAAATAAACAGATAAATAGATGGCTGGAGAACAATTACTCAATGCATAAGGGAATTGACAGCTATAAAAATTACTGAAGACTAAGAAGATTTTACATTCATACACTGACATCTAAAATTAAATCTAAGATTACTCCAAGCCACATAGATCTTTAGTGGCAGAACCTGAGGTAGAAACATCCAATTCTAATGCTTTTACTCTTCATTATACTGTCAGGTTAAGTAAGAGACTCAGTTTCCTCAGACGGTAATAGCTGGTTTATTTTTCTTTTTAAGATTTCATTTATTTTTTTGACAGAGAGAGACACAGCGAGAGAGGGAGCACAAGCAGGGGGAGTGGGAGAGGGAGAAGCAGGCTTCCCGCCGAGCAGGGAGCCCAACGTGGGGCTCGATCCCAGGACGCTGGGATCATGACCTGAGCCAAAGGCAGACGCTTAACAACTGAGCCACCCAAGCGCTCCAGTAATAGCTGGTTTATTAAACATTATTTTTTCCTTAACAGTTGTCTAAGAAATGTCTGTGTAGCACTCTTAACTGTGTTCATTCATTCAGCAAAGATTTGTTGGACACTTATTTTATATCAGCAGTATATCAAGAGCTGGGGATGTGGTAGTGTGGCTCCTGTCCTCATAGGGATACAAATGGTAAATGTAAGAAGGTGACAAAAATCTATCTCACTACAACTCCTAGGAACAGGAAAAAATGTAGCTCTTTTACATTGTCTGCTACTAATTAGGTCTTTCTTAGAGCCCCCACCTAAGACAAAAAAATTAACTTCATTAAGTACAATGCAGTTTAAAACCTGGTGTGATTCAAAATTTTAAATGATCTTCTTAAGTCATGCTCAGTCTTTTCCACTTAATGACTCAATCTCTATTTTTATGCTATCCCTTCTCCCTCTGTCCTGTTCTACAAGATGGTGGCAGCATACATATTGGGTGAAAGTCTTATGTGACTTATAATGGCACAGTGAAGAACCTTTTTGACCCCTTTGTGTCCTCTGGATCTTTGCTTGTATCAGAGTAGGATGATCAGGAATTCAGTGAGGCGTGACTGGTCTGGTCCATTCCTAAGACAGGCAGCCCATGGTTTCCTTACATTTTCTTTGCACCCAGCTCCCACTGAACTGCTCCTCCCTTTCCTCTCTCTAGCCATAACCTTCTCTGAGACTGCATCATGTCCTGTATATGCTCATAAGGCCCAGGGGATCCGTTCCTGCTTCTATTGTGTCCCTACAGGATGCTCCTTGGCTGAATCTCTAGTTTTCAACAAAATGTTCACACTGCATGGGAAACAAAGGAGGCTTGGAAGTGCAAGCTTGACCTTCTCTGTCTGGACATGCCCTTCTACCTTATTCCTGATGCTGGGTCTCCATATCAATATGGGGGAGGGGTCCCCTGCTCAATGATCAACTTGCCATCCTCCCAAATTGGGAGAGGTGGGCAGTTGCCCACACTTGGTCTAACTGAAGCCTACAGGAGGTTTTTCAGAACCTAGATATCCAACATCTTCACCCTCCTACCTCTATCTGTTAAGGTCTCTTCTTCTGACACTTCCCCCAGGGCTTAGAAGGAATGGGGTTTCTACTGCTCCCTCTTTTTAATTAGATTATCCTTACACAGAATTATAGGTTTTAGTCACTCAAACCTGGCATTTAGCATACCAACAAGGAGCTAAAGGATTCTAGATAACCTCTCCCTCCTCCAAACCTGGCTTTTGAGTCTATGACTTACTAAAAAGGTCAAGTACCTGCTCCTCTTTTTTTTTTTTTTTTCACTTCCTGGAGCTAGAGGTCAGATTGGCGGCAGGGAGAGAAAAACTGATGAAGAAACATAAGTTGGGACATATCTAAAAATATTGGTACTACTGGGGCACTTTGGTGACCCAGTCCGTTAAGCATCTGCCTCTTGGTTTTGGCTTAGGTGGTGATCTCAGGGTCATGGGATGGAGGCCTGCATGGAGCCCTGTATTGGGCTCTGTGCTCCTTGTGGAGTCTGCTGGAGACTCTCTTCCCCTTTGCCCTGCTCCTCCTCCCTCTCCACCCCCAGCTTGCTCATTCTCACTCTCTCTAAAAATAAATAAATAAATCTTTAAAAAATATTAGTACTACTGTATCAACAGATTAACATACAATTACAGATTACAAGTTCTAAAAAAAAAAGTGCTAAAGAAAACAAATGTGATCTCTAATAGAGATGGAACATTTTTAGTAAGTTGCTCTCAGAAGTACACTCTGAAGAAGTGACATTTAAGCCAAGGAACTTTGTAGGAAAATAAGATGCTACTCATGGGAACAGGATGGGGATGGGATGCAGGGAACATACTAGAAGACAGAAAAGCATGTGTAAATTCCTAAATTTGGAAAGAGCTTGGCTCATTTTAGAAACTGAAAGAACGCCAGTGTGGCCAAAGAGCCGTCCTTGAGGGAGAGAGCATGAAAGGACATCAGAAGAAGAAGGGGAGATCATGCAGGTCTCATAGGCCAGGCTAGGAGTTGGATTTTATGGCACTATGATGGGAAGCTGTTGAAGTTTTTTAAGAAGGCATGATCTTCACATTTTTAGGGAATTATTCCAGCTGATATATGTGGAGAATGAATGGATTGTAGAGAGGCAAGTGAGAAGCAAAGAAGTTATTAAAGAAGATGAGGTCAGGGGCGCCTGGGTGGCTCAGTTGGTTAAGCGACTGCCTTCGGCTCAGGTCATGATCCTGGAGTCCCGGGATCGAGTCCCACATCGGGCTCCCTGCTCGGTGGGGGGTCTGCTTCTCCCTCTGACCCACTTCCCTCTCATGCTGTCTCTCATTCTCTCTCTCAAATAAATAGATAAAATCTTTAAAAAAAAAAAAAAAGATGAGGTCAGAGATAATGATGGTTTGGACTAAGGTAATGGCAGGGGTGCTAGGATAAGGATGTATTCAATCACTGGGTGACAATGACCAAGAAATCATGATAGGTATCATATTTAAAATAGCTAGTATCTATGTTAGAAATTATAATGGAAAACCTCCGTTCCATTATAGTATGGCCTGCAAAGTCCACTTTCATCTCTTTCATTTCTTGACAAGCACCTCAGGTCAGAGTTGGTACTCAATATCAGAGTATTAGGGGGAAACCTAATATTGGTCTATTTCCAGTATTCATCTGATGACTTCAGATACATGACAAGGAATTTACGTTCTCAATATAGAGTGCCAAACTTGGCTCTACTTCTTAAAAATGAGAATCAAGGCTGAGAACCTATTTTTTACATGTTTCTTTATAACCTCTCATTTAAAAACAGGGGTGATACAAATATTTGAATGAAGGATGATTAGACTCTGAAATAAAATATCATAACTATATTCGATCATGCAATTTTAACCAATAGTTAAAGCAGGATCTTGATGATCACCTAAGGGTTGTCCTAAAAGTTGCAAGGAGAAAGTATACTTCGCCACAGGAATCATATCCCTTTTGAAAATACGGTTGCAATTCAAAGATATTGCCAAGAGGTAATTAGAATCTCTCAAGACTTGCCATAGGTTAACTATGAAGTTTTTTATTTATTTGCCACCTGCTTCATTTCTTTTTTTAAGATTTTATTTATTTATTTAAAAGAGAGAGAGCACAAGCCTGGGGAGTGGCAGGCAGAGGGAGAAGCAGGCTCCCCGCTGAGCAAGGAGCCCAAAGCAGGGCTGAATCTCAGGACCCGGGGATCATGACCTGAGCCAAAGGCAGCCGCTTAACAGACTGAGCCACCCAGGTGCCCCTAACCTGCTTCATTTCTATAAAGGTCTCAAGATACTTAACGGAGATGATTCAGAAGGAGAGAAAAGAAAAAGTGAGAAGGAAGAAAGAAGGGGAGAAGGAAGGAGGTGCAAGGAGGAAGAAGCCATTCCTAACAGTCACCACTTAGTCTGTTTCTCACCCACTCAAACGACCCTCCAGATGTTCAGCCTCTTGTTTAATCCCTGTAACTTATTTCAACAGACATCCCTATTGTCTTTTGTCTAAGGGGCTTTCATTTACATTGAACCCAGTCATTATTCTTAAATTTCTGATGGCAAATACATACGACCTGATAGTATACCAACTCTTTCTCTCCCACCATCCGGGAGCAAAGGAGCAGGGAATTGCCCTAGATTAAGAAAAGAGGAGCTCTAGAAAGCAATAATCATTTAAAAATAAGGAGTGCAACTTAACACTCTTAAACAGCATTGAGGTGGCAGTGGAACGAAAAGGCGTTTATGAATATAACAACTCCTAAAACATGCATTTCTCACATCTTTCAGGTAAATTAATAACAGCAACTATACCTTTGGCATCGGGTCTTCCCTTACAATCCTGCACTTGTCGCAATTCAATATCGCACTTATCCTACGTTATAGTTACAAATATTCGAGCATAGTACTCTAAATAAACTTACAGGTCATTTGCTTTGTTAAAATTTCCCTCGGCTGGTTTTTCTAGCTCTACAAAATACTCACTCATACTTGAAATATTTCACCTGGCTAAGTGTTCAGGTTCAAATTCCTCCATTCACCATGCCAACCCTTTACTCTTCTTTGCCTCAATGTTTTTTTAAAATAGCACGAGACTCATTAGCCATGTTCATTATTGGTCTCTGTGAGTATTAAAGTCCTTGAATTCATAAAGCAACTGAAATTCAACAGATGAAAATTTCACAGCATCTTTCAGTATGAAGGGGATGAGTTTCTATAGGTATTGAAACAAAGCACATAAAATACAGATTTTCCAGAACTCCCTTACTCATTATAACCAATCCCCAAGAGGCCCAATTACCATCTAGGTGTACATATTTTTTAAGGGGAAAAATAAGATGGTGAACCTTCATGCCCTCCCATTGTCACCTCCTACATTTGAGATTCTCTCCAGTAGTTTCAGTTACCACTGTGATACATCTGTCAGAGAAGCCCCAAGAGCTCTCACTTGAAGTAGATTGCCCTTTGATCCCGTTTCTTCTCAGGAGTGGCGTGGATGTTGTGCAAACTGAAAGTTGAAGAGAATACTGAGGACCGGGCTTTCCACCATACATCCCAGGCTATGGAAAGAAGGGCAGGAATGCTCTGAACTCCTGCATTCCATTAATAGTTGAGCACAGCGTAGCCATCTATGGGCTCACCTGACCCAGAGTGCATCCAGGTGCTGAGCATTTAGGCAGTGAATAGAAGGTGCAGCGCGGCTCAGTGCAGACTTTCAACCCTCTAAGCTGGGCCTGTGATCTCAGAGAACTGCTTCAAATAAAAATCAGTTTCCTCTGTACTCTAAGGAGAGTAGTTAATCTTTATCATGACAACTTAAGGCCGTGGCCAGATTGAATGGCATGGCTAAGAGCTCCATTTCCTAGCACACTTGTTTTCCTGGTTGGCAATGGATCCTTAACCCTTCCCAGGGCTCTGAGAGCCGCAACCCTTAGGGGGCTGGAAGCATTGTTTACTTTTTCGTGACCGATGTTCAAATGAACTTCAAAGCCACCAATGGAAAATTTGGGCTTTAAGGGAATGATAGTTTTATAAAATTAGGGCAATAATATATCCAACCAATGAATTATTCGACATAAAGTTATATAGAATATTAAGTTATATATTTAGAGAAGTTCTATAAATGTATGTTATATAAATATAGAACATAAATGTTATATGGAATATCTTTGTCTGCCCATAAACTGGAATGTTTTTCTAGCACTTTTCTAGCATCCCTTCTTCCTCCTCTTTCTAGTTGCGTATCTGGATACACCTTGGTAGAGCAAAGTTCAACATACCTACATTTTCCTGCTCCACAACTGCCCAGTAATTATCCACCTCCATCCTCTCCAAAATAAATGAACACATCAATCAAAATGTACAATTCAGTGATTGATTCCTAAAATGCCTACTCAAAAAAACTGGGTAATTGTGATGAGGTACATGGTAACTCCTAGGGGGAAATAGGCCAGATAATAAAGGATAATAAAAATTTGGTACAATTGAAATTCTGAGGAAAATTCCTGAGTGTTTGATAGATATGTAAGAGATGCTGAGCAGTGATTAGTTTGCTAGCCAATAAAAATATATTTCATGCTTAGGCATGCTGGGGTTTTTCCTCAAACCCTAGACCAAAGGTTTTCAAATTCTGTATAATTTCTGACTTCCCATTTCCAGAATCTTTTCCATCTCCCCCAAAAGGACCATGAATCATTTTTAAGCACAGTCACCAAACTTGATCAGGTGTGTGTACATCTGATCTCCCTGTAAATGTCCCAGAGTCTGTAAAAGCCCAATCAGAAACAAGCAGTGATTCAAATCTTCTTCTTCTTCTGGCTGCAAGATTTAAGTAATACAAAAATGTTCACCAGTAGAACATCAACCAAGGTGCCCAGTTCTTAATCATCCTTTGGCTCCAGTCTGAATAATCCTCTAAAATAACACAGCATAGTCAGGGCACTGCAGCCGTGGTGTGTATCCGCATACTGCTAATTCCTTTTGCACTTGTCTGTACCACACGGTTTAGCACTTTATTACATGTTGGCTTGTTATCCAACTGTTCCATGTGTGTTTCTCTTCTTGCAAAATACATTCTGAGATGCTGAAGAGCTGGGGCCATGGTTTAAACACCTATATATTCCATATAATATGTGGCTTGGTATTGTGCACGTAACAGAGGACTTTATACTTGTTTAGTATTTGTTCCTTTCGAAGTTTCTTGGGGCAAACATCCCTTAGAAAAGGTTTTAGAACTTGTTATTTCTGCTGAGGTTTTTCACAAGAAGACAGATTATTACTCGGCAAAATAACTGGGCTTATTTTTCTTTACAATTAGATCAAAATCGCTTACTCTCCTGAGAATCACGAATTGATTAGTAGCCAGGATCAGTTTAATAGAGTCACTAATTCTTAGTCACTTTGTGTTAAGTGCATAAATAGATCACAACCTGTGTAATTTTTAATAGTACCATGTCCCAGTATCAGCTGCATCAACAAAGGCAATCTAACTTTTAAAGAATATATTCCTATTTAATAGGATCTCCTAATATGCAAATTAAGGTATTAGCCAAATTAGATCTTCCAAAATAAAAAGAGTATGTTTGTGTATACACAGTGCTTTTATATCTTTATTAGAATTCATCTATCAAGAGTATAAACATATTCTGCTCTTTTAAATTTTGTTTCTGAAGTGAAATTTCACATATATATAAAAAGAGACCATCGTGTATTTAGTAAATTAAATGTTACAATCAACTTACATTTTATGTAGACAACACAAATATATAAATTCTGGTGTTTATTTTAAAATACCATGCCAGTGAGGCATAAGATTGCATGGGCACATGTTTTTGGTTTTTAGGTGCTTATATTAGCATAATTAACTTACAGATCATCAGGACAATTTCTTGGTGGCTCCAGTCTCCCTCCTGTTTGCACATAGTTTAAAACATCAAGGTTGGAATGAGTTGGATAAGGCTGATGACCAAGAGTTAAAATCTCCCAAATCAGAATTCCAAAAGACCTAAGGATGTTAAAGAGTTTACTTTAATTATACTTATTACAAACATCATGTTTAGAGTAGTTTGTCCAATGTAATTACTCCTGGGGCTCTTGGGATCTACTTTGTGATTGGCATTATTGGCCCCATAAAAGGCAAATGGGAGACTTAAAAGCAAGTTGACCTCAAGAAAAAGTAGAAAAAGCAACTGCCTACTAGCAACACTTCAAAGGTGATAGGAAGGCTTAGGGGACACACACACACACACACACACACACACACACACACACTTTGTTCCTCCTTCTCAGCTGAAACTGCACTGCAGACCTCCATTACTTAAGGCTTTCATAACATCAACATGCAGACTAATGTAGGGGTAAGCAAGAAAGCATTTCACCTTTTTCCCCTTGCTAGTAAACGTGGAGAGGAAAGGCATGAATGTGAACTGGCAACACTCAGGCCTAATTTTATCTCGTCACTAATTTTGCCTGGGGCCAGTCCAGCTTAAAAGTTATTGAACAAATCTTTACATTTTGAGTAGCTCAAATCAAAATTTGGGGTCAACAAGCAAACATGAGTGACCCTATATTAATAATAAAGAGATGCCCAAATCTCCCCAATGTCATATTGTTTTTGAGATCCATGATTTAAACTCTACCTATAAATTAATGACCACACATCCCAAAAGAGTAGGCATTTGGACACATACTTGGACATCGAGTCATATGTACCAATTCCTATTAGTCATAGCCGCTACGCTTTTGGACAGTGATAGAATACTTGAAGTAAATGTATCTATTTCACATATACTAGTAAGATAACAGATCAAAACTGATGAGAGTGAGGGGTGAAAATACTGAGACCCAAGAATAGTCCCACAAGTTTAGATGACCTTTTATATTCCCTTCTGGCTCTGACATTGGCTGGTTCTGCCTGAATTCCTCTGTGTCCTGTTAAACTCACCATACGTCAGATTGAGTAGTGAAGATTCCATCCATCAAACTTTCTGGAGCCATCCACCGAACGGGGAGTAAGCCTTCCCCTGTCTTTCTATAGTAATCATTTTTATAGATGTCCCTCGCGAGTCCAAAGTCCCCAATCTTCACCACCCGTGATGGACTGGTATAGTCTTTCACAGAGACAAGGCAATTGCGAGCTGCCAGATCCCTATGGCAGAAGCTATATTTAATAATGCTAATAATAAAGTCCCAGAGATCAGACAAGGAACCCTACTAGGTCTCTAGAGAAGAGAGACCTTTTACAAAAACTTTTGCTATTTTGAAGTAATGAAATGTTTAATTATCTTGTATGTTTTACCCAAACCTCAGGTGATTATTGTGCCGATGTCCATTAAGAACCTTGTATCTAGGGCGCCTGGGTGGCTCAGTTGGTTAAGCGACTGCCTTCGGCTCAGGTCATGATCCTGGAGTCCCGG